CCATATCACAGTGCATCAGCATTTTACTCTTTTTTCCAAGACCCAGGTCAGTGGAGTGGGTGGAACCAGGACTCCGCACGTGTCTAAATTGGTTAAAATTAAGCTGATTCTCGCTGTATTAGCTAGATTGAAGACGTTCGGGTGCTTGGCTCAGCCCATTTCACTAGTTTTAGTTCTCGAAAAAAGTGCACCTTGTAGGGACCCACGACTGAATTCATGTTTTTCTTGCCCTTAAATTTTACATTTAAATACAGTATTCCATGAGATTTCTTTTATATTTCTTATGGAAGAATTGTCTATAAAATCCTCCTCCAGCATTTCTTATATACAGCTTATGCAAAAATGCTATCTTAAGTAAAAAGTTTTGTAAAAGATGCTTCCTATTAATGTATGCTACCTCACTCTAAGGACTATGAAGCCAAATCGTAAGCAGCATAGAAAAGCTGTAAGTTTTACTGCAGTTATTTTGATCTATGTTTTGCTTTGTGCTTTGGCGTGTCGTAGTCTGTGCATATATTAGCTGGAAGTTCGAATTCTAATACTTAGTTTTCTCCCATGTAAAATATGGTTGAATTTTTAAAGTATGAGAAAGGCATTTTCCTGCAGTTCTCATGTTGTATAGAAAAAAAAAAACTTTGTTTGAAGTTCCCCGACACATTTTTTTCTTTGCGCAGCCAGCTGTGACAACACTGCTTCATATAAAAAAGGTGAAATCTGGGACCATTTAGTGATATGTTTCACGTCAAGGAAAAAAGTTTTTATAATATTTAATCACAAGGATATTTCTCCCATTACTATTAACTACAGTTTAACAAGAAGAACTTAAGATCTGGATTTGTATCTGTCATTTTCAGCCCCTTGGTGTGTTCCTCGAGAAAGGCTGTGACTATCACCTGGCGATCTGCATTCTGCTCACGATACTCGGATACATCCCAGGAATTATCTACGCCTGTTATGTTATACTTGCTTACTAAGCACTGCCAAATGTACATTGAATTCAAGCCATTCACATTCCCAGTGACCTCACAATGATGTTGCTGCTTTTATTTGGCTTGAATTTTGCTGTTTTGATCGCAATCGTTATGTGACTTACTATGAAAAATTGTATGATATAATTGCGTATATATATTGAATAAAGTTTGAAGTCATTATACTTCGGTTCTTTGAAGAAATTGATCTATACACATTGATTTTTATATATTCTCGGAACCCAAGAAACATTTTCAAAATTTTTTACTGGTTCCTCACTGGAGTAACACATAGTCTAGTACTCTACAGAACTTTGGAAAAGATCAGGGTATTAGATTAGTTTCGGCTATAGCTCTGCATTTGCCGAAATTTGTGGGATGCAGTTTTGGAGGAAGGATTATGATTTCAATGTTAGTCTCGGAGATTCGGTTAAACTAAAGTAATTACTGGCAAAATCGCGAAATTATGGGACAGAATTAACCGTATGAACCACTAGAACTCCAATTTTGCTATCAAGGAAAACAAATTTTGTTTTATAGCTTGAGATTTACCAGTAAATAAAGTTGAAACTGGGACAGCTAGTGCAGTTTTTTTAGAGGAACAAGATTTTATTAATATAAAATGAACAAGGCATGAAGAAATTTAGTAAATTTGTTAAGGCGGAATCATTTATAATGGAAATAAAATTGGGGAAAACTTAGCCTCACAGAAATTGACTCACCAAAACTATGAATCCAAATTCCGAAAAATTTGGTCCAAAGTCGAAATTTGTGAAATAACTCAGTGATTTTGAATAAGTAAAAATGTTGTTGCGTCGTCCATTGATCTTCTCCACTCGCCGCTCGTTTCACGCCTGACGAAGGCACTGAAATTGACTTTGGTTTAGCTTCTGTATCAAGAACTTCCAACCAACTTCTACCAGCTTACTCACCTCGGCAAGGGAAGGGGACGTTACGACCAGTGTCGCAGCAATGAACCCCAAACACTGCGAAAACTTCTCCATCAGCCGAGGCTCGAACCGGTGCCTGTTAGACTGAAAGTCTGACACACTGCCAACTGAGCCAATCAGCACGTGCGCATATAAAAAAAATTTGATCTGTTGGCGATTACAGTGCTTACAGTCTTCGCTGCAGAGCCCTGACACCAAAAACAGAACTGCTCCGCGTCATAACGGGTCGGATGGCTAAGTCGGTAGAATGTTGGACTATGATTCCAGCAGTTCCTGGTTCGAGTCCCAATTGGCGAAAATGTTCAATAGAAATTGCTTTTCGTTTTTTAGTCTGGTATGGATGAAAACTATCCATGGCACTAAGATGATACTCGCCTATTCTTGGAAGGTTTTGGTACTGGTAATGGTAATCCGAAAGTGACACATTTGCTTCACCAGGCACAAGTGCAGGGTAGCTCATCAGGTAGCGTACTGGGCTCTCACACTGATGGTCGCTAGTTCGACTCTTGCATCTTCCTGTGTTTCACAATCTTTAGATATTCGTGGCTAACATCTTCTTCTTTTGAAGAAGAAATCCGACATTTCTGAGTTTGTATCCTCGCCGAGGTTGAGAGAATTTAAGTGGGCCACCTTTGTTGCTGAGAACGGAAAAATAACTTTTGAAAAATCTGTGTGTATTAATATCAGCAGTCTTTTTTAAAAGGAACCAAGATCGAAGTAAGCATGGCCAGTTTGTGTGCTTTAAGAAGACACATTACCTTTTCAACGAGTTTGAGCGCAGTTTTTTACCGAAATTTATTTATTTATTTATTATATGCACGCTGGGTGCGCAGAACAAACATGCCCACATAAATTCTTCCATAGTTCAAGCAAAAAAGAAATCCAGTAATTGTCTAAATTTGCAAGAAAGATGGAGATTTAAAGTAGGAAGGAAAGACAAGAAGAAAACTTTTAAAAAAGAAAAGAAAATAAACCTTGATGACGCCACAGACAATCTAAAAACTGAAGGAGAAATGGCCAGAATGAGAGAGAAAACGACTTAGCTTTCATATTGCTCTACCTAAAATGCGGATTATGGCTATATGACTTAAAACGTGTGAATCTACTTCGACAAGCAAACTAAAAACGCTATTTACCTGTTTAGTTTTATGGCTACATAAAGGTTTTTGTTTTGAACCATCCAGTCCGTGTTAAAAAATTCACAGCCTTCGGACTCCATCTGTTGCCAATTCTCTTATTTTTTTCGTTCTATTTTATTTTTGCTCATTTTATTTCTTCTGGGACATTGTTTCGTCTTAGCAACAGCAAAGCACTCTTTTTGGAATTCGCTCCCTCTAGTCGGCTATCATTTAATTTTCTCGTTCTCTTGAAAATATTCTAAAATTCTGCATGAGATACCAGTGCGGACTAATTTTTTTACCGATTATCGGATGAAAGTCACGGTAAACAGACTGCAGAACGGATTTATTATATTTTGCACTTTGCTAAAACGTGATGCAGGCACTGAGTTGTTTAACAACATCGCTCTTCTATATTGGCTGAATATTTTCCTTTATTTTCCTATAAAAATGAACCCTTCTAAATGTAAAAAAAGGTTGCACTGAACATTCTGGGGGGCTCCTTGGGTGGTCCATGGTGCCGGTGGTCTTGCCACTGATACAAACGCTCGCTTTATTCCGCTAAACGCTAAAAGCCCAACTTTGAATTCCCTCCTAGTTTGTCGTAGAGGCGAACAATTAATTGAAGAAATTTTTGAAAATGTGGGCAAGATTCATGTTCGATACGTAGAGCGAGGGTCCGTCCTCTTTCATTGATCCAACAATATAAACAAATGCGCAGTAATACTCATAAACGGTGTTGACTTAAAAATGAGTCACATGAAGGTCTCGAGTCGGTGACTGTTTGACTCTCATTGTTAGTTCAAGTTCTACGAGGTGAACCATTTCAGGCACTAAGGCGAGCCAGCGAAAAATCCAGCAAATGTCTATTTTCCTTTACTCTTTATTTGATGTGCTTTTTTTAAAGGATTTCACATGCTATCATTTCTTTCAATTATGTCATATTTTCACAAGAGAAATTTATCTTTGCTTTCCAATGAACAATCAAATGAACCATCTAAAGTACGAAAAACAGGGATTTTTGTGGTAAAGGCTGATTTTACTTCCTCTTCGTGTTCGTCGCAATTTTCCGAAAATACTCTTTTATTACAATAGGAACGTAACTCTGCAAGATTAGCCTCATAGCAGGATGTTGTGATGGTCAGCCAAGCCTCGTCCTCGGATACGGCTCCGAAGACGGGAAGTACCCTTTGAGGCAGAAACGAAATCTCATTCTCTTTTGTTCGTCGCTCCTCTTCAGCAAGTGCTCCAAGAAGCTTCATCTTTTACTATTTCAGTGTATATCCCCAACCAAACTCAACCCGTTCCAGGTCAAAGTTTGGAGCGAAATGTTGGATCGATTTCTCAGTCCTCAAAGTACGATGCCCGAAAAGTAGCAAACAATTTGCCAGACAACGAAACGGCCGACACTCGCTGTGAACTCTTCTATGTTACTCCTAGAAAGTTCGCAAAAATTCGATCACTATCTTTGGCTGCAAATTATATTGCACTTGTATGTACGTATCTGGG